TATATATATATATATACATTATATATTTATTTATTTATCAATAGAAAATCTACTTGATATTAGTACAATTAGGCCCCGTATTTTATGTAAAAAACATAATTTATATAACAACAGATTGAAATATTGGAAGCCGACTTATGATAACGATTATAATAAAGAGTCATCCATTTGGGGGGAGGAGGTTAATTTCTGGCGTACATTAAAAAAAAATGACAATCCGGATATAACAACAGCTAAAACTGCTAATTATATCAGTTTACTGAATTAGATTTTATTTGAGAAATACATCTTTGTGTTAAATGTTACTGTTTTCAATTTGAAGCATAGCAAATTGAAAATGGTGTGTGTTGTATGTGAAGGAGGAATTCACCTGGGCGCCAGCCTGGAAATTTTTGAGAACCACTGCATTTAGGGCTGAAGATTTTGCGGCAGAAGTCATTTCATATTTTTGTTTTGTACGCTCTGGAGGGGAGGGGGGGGGGCGTACGTCTTGTACGCTTGTGAAAATAATGAAAAAAATGGATATCCCCTAATATCAAGTAGATTTTCTATTGGTTGATACATAAATGAATATATGATGGCATGGAAAATGACAAGGATTATGTTATTATTAGTGAAATCTAATAATAACACTGACACTAACACTAATATCATCAATGTTATTAGTAATGACCATTATCATTATGATAATGGTTATGAAAATATTAAAACTAAAGATATCAATCGCAATAATATTAATGGCGATGACAATAAAATCAACAACTTGTGATGAAAATTACGGGCTGATTGGGGCCTTAAAAATATGGGGATTGTGAATGAGTTGACTCATGATAACTGAATAGAAGGAGGAAATAAATGTTTATTTACTGTCTAACTTCATCACTGATCAGGGTTCGATCGATTGCGATTTGCGAAGTTCTAGCTTCGCCCGGGCCTTCGGCTATGGCCCGGCCTGTGTCAGCTTTTTAGGGCTGACTCATTTCATTCTGTGACACTCGGCGCTTACCGTGGCGGTGGGATTGCAGCAGGCGCTCCTGCTGCCACGGGGTAAGCGAATCGCAAAGTCTCTTTACCAGCACGGCGGCTGTTGTCGGGGGTCCCTGTCTCAGGAATTGTGTGTGTACACAATTCTCTAAGTAATGTATAAGTGTGGCGTTCGGCTCGCCGCAATGCATGCAACACCTCTCTTCACGGACAATGGTCTCAATTATCTGCCATTTACAGTGGTAACCTAGGCGCATTCTGTGGGGAATGACTTCGGTTCGTCTGTTTTTTAACTCAGAGAGTGCCAGAGGTTCATAGCCTGTTGCTTCTGAATACCATCTGGCCGAGGGGGAGGATCTCGTTGCCTCTCTGTGAAGCTGCAGGAGGAAGGAGTTGACCAGGGGCGTCATTCTTTGTGTGTGTGGGGGGGTGGGGGGTAAGGTAGGCGAGCGAAGTGAGCTCGCGCCCCGCCCAGGAGCGAGAGGTTGCAATTGTCGCCTGGAGGTTACTGCCATGGCTGGGCACTACGGCGGGTAAGGACTAAGCTCAGCCGAGTCTGAACCAGCTGTGACACACATTAGTGAGTCGGCATAAGTCGACACAAGCCGGTATCCCCTCATGGGCATACCCCGGGCGAGGCTCAGCTTCGCTTATCGGACGTATCCTTATTAGTTTCTGGGACACTGTGAGCCCCCAAGAGAAAAATTGAAAATTAGCTATACTAGGAACATCTTTAAGCTACTACCCGAGCTATAAAGGGGTAATTTAGGCAAAATATATCGTGGGAGTGTGGCCCTTGGGGGGAGGACAAGCCAGATCTTGAGGGGGCAATCAGATTTTTTTTTACCCATCTCCCATCTTAAACATATTAAATATACATGCATAATACGGGGTATAACAAGATCTTTTTAGCTTATTAATCGGACTTACCTTCTTTTTGTATTGTCCCGAAAGCGACATCCTGAACCGCCGCGACCCGAAGCCAATGGAGAGGAGGAGCACCACACCCTGGAAGTAGAAAGAGCAAAGCATTATCCTTTTTGTTTGTTTTTTATTTCTTTCTCTCTTTTTATCTGTATATATATCCACCTGTGTGTTTTTATTTTGCCTTGCCTGACTGTATTGTGAAATTTCTCTTCTTTTGTTTCACTCTATTTTCCTAGTCCATTTCTGCCCTCATCTTTATTTGTTTTATTATATTCTGATGTTTTATTCTTCGAGCTGTTACTCTATCTCCATATTTATTTGCATATTATTCTCACTTTTTTTAACCTATTTTATCTGTCGCCATACTTCCTCTTCTCTCTAGTCATTCATAATGGTTCCCTCCCTTTTCCCAATCTGCTCTCTCTTATTTCTATTACCATAGCCCTTCCATACTTTAATATTTGTCTCAACCTTTTCTTAATCATTTTTATTAATCATTCGAAATTTTCATTTTTCTATCAAAGCGTAAATGCACATGAAAGATAGGTAATGAATGGATGAATGCCGCGTGTCCGCATAACATCATTTGTATTTTAAATAGTTTTCAACACTATCAGGTATACCTTCGCTTCGTTATAAAAATAAAATCTAGTAGCCTTACAGTCCTCTTTTTTAATTTTTTCCAATCCTTATTCCTCATCCCAATAGACTTTTGCCACTTTACATACCGTGAAGCTGTTGAGTATCTCATAGATTGGATACAGGTTTGGCACATCGCCTTCCCAGCGGATGAGGGCAGCGCAGCCGATGGCCCAGGTGGTGGAGAAGTACAGGGCAAGGACGGATGATCCTATGCTGAAGGATCGGTAATCTGCCAGGATGTCGCCACTCCTACAAAGAGATTTTAAAAAATGTAGTCTTTATACTGTGTGTGCTTGTTGTGATCGCCACGTTCTGGATATGTGTTTGTGTGTGTGTGTGTTGTGTGTGTGTGTGTGTGTGAGTGAGTGTGTGAATGTGTGTGTCTGTGTGTGTGTGTGTGGTGTGGTGTGTGTGTGTGTGTGAGTGAGTGTGTGAGTGTGTGTGTGTGTGAGTGAGTGTGTGAGTGTGTGTGTGTGTGGGGGGGTGGGGGGTAAGGTAGGCGAGCGAAGTGAGCTCGCGCCCCGCCCAGGAGCGAGAGGTTGCAATTGTCGCCTGGAGGTTACTGCCATGGCTGGGCACTACGGCGGGTAAGGACTAAGCTCAGCCGAGTCAGAACCAGCTGTGACACAAATTAGTGAGTCGGCATAAGTCGACACAAGCCGGTATCCCCTCATGGGCATACCCCGGGCGAGGCTCAGCTTCGCTTATCGGACGTATCCTTATTAGTTTCTGGGACACTGTGAGCCCCCAAGAGAAAAATTGAAAATTAGCTATACTAGGAACATCTTTAAGCTACTACCCGAGCTATAAAGGGGTAATTTAGGCAAAATATATCGTGGGAGTGTGGCCCTTGGGGGGAGGACAAGCCAGATCTTGAGGGGGCAATCAGATTTTTTTTTTTACCCATCTCCCATCTTAAACATATTAAATATACATGCATAATATGGGGTATAACAAGATCTTTTTAGCTTATTAATCGGACTTACCTTCTTTTTGTATTGTCCCGAAAGCGACATCCTGAACCGCCGCGACCCGAAGCCAATGGAGAGGAGGAGCACCACACCCTGGAAGTAGAAAGAGCGAAGCATTATCCTTTTTGTTTGTTTTTTATTTCATTCTCTCTTTTTATCTGTATATATATCTACCTGTGTGTTTTTCTTTCCCTTGCCTGACTGTATTATGAAATTTCTCTTCTTTTGTTTCACTCAATTTTCCTAGTCCATTTCTGCTCTCATCTTTATTTGTTTTATTATATTCTGATGTTTTATTCTTCGAGCTGTTACTCTATCTCCTTATTTATTTGCATATTATTCTCACTTTTTTTTTAACCTATTTTATTTGTCACCATACTTCCTCTTCTCTCTAGTCATTCATAATGGTTCCCTCCCTTTTCCCTATCTGCTCTCTCTTATTTTTATTACCATCCCCCTTCCATACTTTAATGTTTGTCTCAACCCTTCCTTAATCATTTTTATTAATCATTCGAAATTTTCATTTTTTTTATCAAAGCGTAAATGCACATGAAAGATAGGTAATGAATGGATGAATGCCGCGTGTCCGCATAACATCATTTGTATTTTAAATAGTTTTCAACACTATCAGGTATACCTTCGCTTCGTTATAAAAATAAAATCTAGTAGCCTTACAGTCCTCTTTTTTAATTTTTTCCAATCCTTATTCCTCATCCCAATAGACTTTTGCCACTTTACATACCGTGAAGCTGTTGAGTATCTCATAGATTGGATACAGGTTTGGCACATCGCCTTCCCAGCGGATGAGGGCAGCGCAGCCGATGGCCCAGGTGGTGGAGAAGTACAGGGCAAGGACGGATGATCCTATGCTGAAGGATCGGTAATCTGCCAGGATGTCGCCACTCCTACAAAGAGATTTTAAAAAATGTAGTCTTTATACTGTGTGTGCTTGTTGTGATCGCCACGTTCTGGATATGTGTTTGTGTGTGTGTGTGTGTGTGTGTGTGTGTGTGTGTGTGTGTGTGTGTGTGTGTGTGTGTGTGTGTGTGTGTGTGTGTGTGTTTGTGTGTGTGTAATGCACATACTCATTATCATCCTCCGATTTACCTTAGACTAGCTGTGTGCAGGTTAAAGAAGACGACGCACACGAAGAAAACGGCCGCCATGCAGAAGCCCAGTTGGGGCACGAAAAATACCCCCTTGACCTCGTTAGTCCAGGATATGAAGCATCGGGGATCGGTGCCAAGGTGACGCAGGAACGCCATGTAAGTCACTCCGATGGAGCAGATGGTGATGCCCCAAGACAGGAAGAAGTAGGAACGAAGTTTCCCGCCGATAACACCTAAGGTGACGGAAGGCGTGGAAGTATAAAGACTGGTTGAGCTGGAGTCCACGAAGATACTGATCTGAATCATTTCATCTAGAATCACGGAGTATTTATGGAGTTCCTAACACACTAACGCACTCTCTAAGTCA